CACAGCAGCTGGCAATCTGCTGATAATTGAATAGCCAGAGCGAGTATTGTAGTAACGAGGGAGTCGTAATCCTAGTGGTTTCCTTTGAAGAGAGTATACTGCAATTCTAGATTTCCTATGCACAATCACAAAGAACTACGTACATCTTAGACATTGAAGCACATGCGTTTTTAATAATCTTTAGGTGGCAAGAAAGTAAATCTGTTGATCATGAGTGACAGATATAGCGTATAATATTTAAATAATATTAGAATAAGTATATTAAACTACTACTGTTACTCTCAGCCAGGGATAACACTTTATGACAAAGTGTGTTGTATCAGCTTTTCACAACTTGCGTTGTTATTTTGCATTTTTTCAACCATCATATCTAAGTTTTGACAAACTATCATACGCTTTACGGGTCACCAAAGTAAATTTGGCTGACTGACTAAGTAGCTACTGGAAATACGCTCCACAATAATTTTCAGCGTATGGCCTACCTCAGTTAGTTCACTGCCCACTTTGTGAAAGGAAGTCTAGAATTCGCTGATCCAAAAATTAATGCACTTCCGCAATCAACGTGATAAATAACACGATTGTAAGATGTTGTAAAATTTAAAGTGATGAACATTTTAAATTTTTCTGCTGCAGCCCATGCAATACATTAGAGATACAAAATTCACTATAAAGTAGTAGATCTGGGGTAGTTCTGAAAACAAAAGAAAGGGCATTTCAAAAGTCGTTTAATGTCAATTTTACAAAAATATTAAGTGCTTCTGGCGTGACTGATAGACTTTAGAATATTGAGGTTAGATCAAGTGAGAAAAAGAGAAATCGAAACTGAGAAAGGTTTTATATCGATTTCGACAAAGTTGAAAGAAACCTGACTCACTCGGCTGAATGCTATTTAATTACAAATAATGCCAATTTTATTGAGGTGAGGATAACTGAGGCTAAAGCATCGAGGAGGAGAACAACAGGGCGAAAAAGGTGAAATACAATGGGGTGAAAATGTCATAAATCTCTTAGTCCGTTTCTATGACCGTTTGTCCTTTCTGGTCGCGATGACAGGCACGTCAGACTCTGTCTCCAACGTTTCAGATCCTGTGCCAGCGTTTGAACTTTGGCAGAAGATGATCCGAATAAGGTGAAGAGTCATTCCAGACTTTTGTCTCATGTTGTTTGTGAATGTCCCCGGGGGAGTCAATCAATCGATTGAGTAAATAGTGGCTGTCTCGTGTTTTTCCAAAGATTAGACGGAGGAAACATTGTGCGTCTAGACAGACATGATTACTGCAGGATTGCCACGATGATATACCGAGGTCTATTCAAAGGGTGTTATGAATAAGAAGACTTAGCAGTACGGTCATTAAATTAGTGATTAAGTAACTAATATTCCATGCTCAATTGTGGTGGCATAAACACGACCAAGTGTTCACCTTAGTGAGGTAACTGTCGTCCAGAAGGAACACAGCCCTTCTATCTAAATTTTTAAAATTTTTTTTCACTTCTGGTTCAGATATGTTTCCTGAACTTACTACAGTGAAATATTCAAATGTTTAATATTATGCAATCAGGGAACATGTATCAGACGAGAAATTCAAGATCTGAAGAAAATCATTTGACATGTTATACGTGAGTAAGCAGGAATTTTAATCCAGCGTACTTTTAACTTTTTCTAGCAACAGTAAAAACTAATTTTTATTAGAAAGTTCAGACTTTAATATCGGTATATAATAGCGTGTTACTTTATCATTACATTGTTGATAATTATGCAACTCTCTCAAGATTTGATTTAATGAACTTTTGTCTCTGCATTGAGGTGAGGATGAGCGAGGTAATTTGAGTTATATGAAAAGTACTTCCTACTGAAACGCCGCTAATGAAACTACGGAATTGTGTCCTTCGTTCAAACGGTTCAGAATTCAACAATACACTGCAGATGCTCATATGCCATGGAGCCATACACGTTAGTCAGTTTCAGGCAGCGGGGGCAGGTACGCAAATCTGTGTCTCCAACATTCCCGATCACGTGTCTACATCTAGCTTTGGCAGAAGATAAACCGACACTAAAACGGAGTCCATTGAGGAATTTCTTCCAGGTCGTTTTTGGACTACTTACTCGACGCTGGGTCGAGTAAGTAATAGCTGTTTTGCGTTTCACATTCTCAAAACGCTGCCAAACCATTTCAACGTGACTTCCCAGTCTGCTGGAGCCTCTGCTGTACACCAAAGCTCTTTCGAATGTCTGAACTCCAAACCACGTCGAGTCGCGTGGGCCCACCGATTTGTCTCAGAAAACCTCTTTCAGGCATTTGTGCGAGGAATTGCAGTTTTTCAGTCACCGCCCTCATCGCATGACCATAGCTGAGCATGGGAGTGCACACGGCTTCGACACACACAACTTCTTTTTCAAACCCAGGAGTGCATTAGTTACAGCGGTTCGGTAGTTCGCGGAGAAGCCACCGACGATTCTGGCTTTTCTCTGGTCATGCCGTAGACTCATGGTCTGCTAAAATGGGCTTCCTAAACAACGGCAAATAAGGGGAGGTGAGTGCGAAGTGAAATTAGGTTTTTGCGAGTCACGTGCGTATTCGTGTATTCCGGCGAATTTATATTATTAGAAATTGTCTGTCAAATAACCCCTTGCAAAGTGACTACTCAGGAAACTTCAGTAGAAGGGGAAAATCGAATGAAATGAAACCGAGAAATCATTTGTTTGATGGCTAGGGTGGATCAAAAGTTAACGAAAGTCTAATTCGTCAACAATGACAAAGGCGACTGCAAGCATCGCCGTTCATAGGTTTTCTTCTTGAGATAACTCACTCGTACGTTGCCTCGAGGTCACAAAGCTTTGCCTGTGGATTAACTACATGCCATTCGGAGAACTTAATTTTTTTTCATTTTTTAAATGGGGTAGTTGCTTATTTCTTCCCTCAGCGGGCAACAATGCTGAATACGCCGAATGCAAAATGTCAATGCCTCTCGCTGAAGAACTGGCACTCTCTCAGCTTCTGCAGTGAGGTGAATGGTGCGAGCCAAATCCTCCGTTGAACGCTTTTACACAAGGAGCGAAGATGAACAGGAAATGTAAATCAGACAGCGGAAAAAGAGCAGTTACTTTTCTAGCATTTTCGTGGTTTCACGGAAAGTTATTAATTTTACTAGTACGTTACTTGCACCATCAGCGGGCGTAGTTATTGATTCTCAATAATGCATCAGAAACAGGCGCAGCAGAAATGGGTTATTGTCACTTCAAGCTGTAACCACTCAAGCGGAACAGATTTTTTTGATGATTCGATGTAAGCTTGATTTAACATAAATCATTGGAGTCAAATTCTTGTTGGTAGCTGCGCAGCAGCCTCAAGATTTTTCATTTCTTCCAGTCGTTCTTCATCAGACAGTTTCCACGGATTTAGTTCTAAGACGCAACGCTGCGACATGTACGAGATGTTGGTTGGCGAAGAGAGACTATTGCATTGTGAAAGATGTTCAGACCATCGCAACTGTAACATTCTCATGCGAGGAAGGAACGCCTCGCAAGCAACGGAACGTCGTACAGCTATATTCTAAACGTTACTGAGCTTCTTCACACAAGCGATTTTTCAAAGCCACCTTACTGATGTCGCTTATGTCTATATGTCTCACTCCTTCCTCATTGTTTCAGCAGATGGATAACCTCTTGCCATCCTTCGTTTTCCGCTTCTTGGTTGAGGGTCATCAGCGTTACATTTACCCAACCCATGACTTCTTTTCAAAATGTTATAATCTTTTATAGTTGATTTGGTAATTTGACAGGTCAGCAATTGCCCTAGTGTATAAACAGACGGTTTCGCAACAGTGGCGGCAATACAGCATAGCTATTTCAGACATGTCTACAGGACACAGCGTGAATTTACTCTGGCCTTTGTGTAATGCTTGTGCTTACAGAGTTTGACAGTTAGCTCAGCGGCTGAGGCACGAGGGTGATGCCTCGTTAGGTCGGATGAAAGCCGTTGCTGGGAACTGACTTGCATCGACTTGATAGAAACGGGCACTCGACCTCAAGACGGAGGCGGAAGACGACAATCGTGCGCTGAATTGGAAGATAAGGCGGAAACGCCGCGTTCGACTTTGAAGGTCTAAGTGAGCGAAATCGCTGGCGGGCTAAAAGAGAACAAAGTTCTCAACGAACACGTCGTCACTATAATCGATGATGCTGAGGAAGTCGGCAAGGTCGTCGCCCGCCGCCCCTACCGCCACAGCACACCGCCGGTTCTGGGTCAGGAGGGCGGTGCGTTTGTGAAAAATATTCAATCGTCGCTCTGACTTGAGTAAGTGCAGATGCGAGGCGAGTTTCGCTTTGCCTTTGAAGGACGGCAGCCGAAAGGCCCAGAGGCGGCGCGCGACACGACGACACTTGAGACTCGCCGAGACGACGATGAACCGACCGAAACGAGCCGATTTGAGTCAATTTGAGTCGAATCGAATCGGCCGAGTCCAGCCAAGTTGACGACGAGTCAAATCAGGAGGCACCGTCGTCGTCAGTCAGTCGGTCTGCGGCAGCGGCCGGGGCGGAGCTGTTTTATGCCTATAGAGTAAGTTGACGTTTTGGTGGCCATCGTC